ATATATATATATATATATATATATATATATATATTGTTGTAATCCCAATTCATGGTTAATGCCAATTTAGTGATTCATCCAATATTACTCTCTTCCCTATTCTCTCTTTCTCTCAATTCATCTTCTTTCTAAGTTTCTTTTCACCATTGTTACTACCTTCAAAATTCTGGTTTTATGTTTTATGTTGTTCTAACATTTGGCATCAAGAGCTCCGGTTATTGATCCTAATCCGCTGCAACAATGGCTACCATTTTTAATGATCGAATTCCCACCAATCTCCCAATTCTTGATTCGAAGAACTACGACAAATGGGCGAAACAAATGAAGGTTCTGTTTGGTTATCAAGAGGTTCTTGAGATCGTCATCAATAGAGTTACACCGTTAGGGGAAGATGCTACTGTAGCTATTAGTGCTACACACAAGGAAGAAAAGAAGAAGAATTACAAAGCCCTATTCTTGATTCACTCTTGTGTTGATAACGACAATTTCGAGAAGGTTGGCAATTGTGAATCCGCGAAGCAAGCATGGGAAATCTTGGAGAAAGCATATGCCGGTGCCGTTAAAGCGAAGGTGGTAAGGTTACAAACTTACAAACTTCAATTCGAGCTAACGAAAATGGAGGACAAAGAAACGATCAATGATTACATTACGCGCATTACCCGGTTAGTCAACCAAATCAAGTCATGTGGTGAAACTATTCTTGAACAAAATGTTCTATCAAAAATGTTGCGTTTGTTAACATCACGGTTCGATAACATTGTTGTGGCTATTGAAGAGTCAAAGGATCTAACAACTTTGAGCAAAGATAAGTTGCAAAGTTCGTTAGAAGCGCATGAACAAAGGATGGATGAGAGAAGTGCCGACAAAGCCAAAGTGGAGATCGCTTTGCAAGCGCGTGTACATGAGAAGAACAAGAGAATAAAAGGGAAGTGGTCTTCAAAGAGTAAGAAGAATTTTGGTGGAAAAGATCCACAAAATTCGAAGGGTGAAGGAAGCTCCAAAGAGGGTAATCAAAGCGCCTACAAACCGTTTGACAAAAGTTCTGTGAAGTGTTATAATTGTCAAAAGCTTGGGCATTTTGCGAAAGAATGTCGCTCAAAACGCAAAGAAAAAGATGTGGATGAGGCTAAGGTTGCTAGGGAAGAGGTATATGATGAAGATACCCTTCTTGTGATGATTACGGAGGATAATTATGGCATTGTTGATGCTCCGGGCAGCAGCTACTGTGGTGATAGTTTGCGGGACATCAACTGTACTGTTTTGGAAAATGGTGGAAAAATACGCTCGGATCGAAATGCATTACTTACCATGCGTGATGGAGTTCAAAGTAAAGATGAGTGGTACTTGGATTCCGGTTGTTCAACATATATGACGGGTCAAAAGGATTGGTTTGTGCAAATTAATCAAGTGGCAAAGAGCAAAGTCAAGTTTGCCGACGACACCACTTTAAGCGCCGAAGGGGTAGGAGATGTTTTGATCGGAAGGAAGAATGGTGGACATTCTAGGATCAAAGATGTCTTGTACATACTGGGAATTAAGTGTAATCTTTTAAGTATTGGCCAATTACTTGAAAGAGGTTACTTAATTCGGTTGAAGAACAAGATGTTACGCGTTTTAGATTCAAATGGTGTTGATTCTAAAAGCGCCGATGGCTGCCATTAGAACTTTTAAGGCTGAGTTAAAGGTTATGGAGCATCGTTATTTAGCTACCGCAGCAAGTAGAGAAGAGTGGTTATGGCATTACCGTCTTGGTCACCTTAATTTTAGGGATCTCAAAATGTTGCAACAAAGTGAAATGGTAACGGGGCTGCCACATATTAGTGTTCCGACAAAATTATGTGAGGAATGTGTGACAAGTAAGCAACACAAGAATGTATTTAGCAAGGATGCGGGTCGAAGAACCAAAGGCTTACTTGAGGTGGTGTATTCAGATGTTTGTGGACCGATGCAAATAGAGACTTATGGCGGCAATCGATATTTTGTTACGTTCATTGACGATTTTAGTAGGAAGCTTTGGACATATCTTATCAAGAGAAAGGATAAGGTATTCAGAGTGTTCAAGAGTTTCAAATCCATGGTGGAGCGTCATAGTGGTCGGAAGCTCAAAATTATCAAAACGGATGGTGGAGGTGAATATACTTCTAGTGAGTTTGGGAAGTTTTGTGATCTTGAGGGTATTGTGCATGAGGTGGTGCCTCCATATACGCCTCAACAAAACAGGGCTGCCGAGAGGAAAAATCGTACAATAATGAACATGGTGCATAGTATGCTTTGTGGGAAGAAGTTGCCTAAGGAATTGTGGGGTGAGGCCGTGTCTACAACCACCTACTTGTTGAATAGGTGTCCTACTAAGAAGTTGGAGAATATCACACCAGAAGAGGTTTGGAGCGGTTTCAAACCAAGTGTGAATCACTTGCGCGTTTTTGGATCGATTGCATATCGTCATGTACCGAATCAACTTAGAAAAAAGTTGGACGATAAAGGTGAAAAGTTGATATTTGTTGGATATCACTCTACTGGAGGTTACAAGCTATTTGATGAGAGGAATCGGAAAATCGTGATAACCCGGGATGTGCAGTTTGATGAAATAAAAACTGCTGAAACAACATATGTAATCGATTACGCAAATGCTGCTAACCGATTACAGCCTGTTGAACAACAACAGTTTATTGATTTGTTTGATCCTGAGAGTTTTGATGTCGTTGTTCCTGTACCTACAGTAGTTGACAATGATGTTGTGAATAATGGTAGACCAGTGAGGCAAAGATCCTTGCCTCATAGACTCCGAGATTGTGAGAGGTTCCAAGATAACGAAGTGAATAGTGATGGTGATCTTATTCATTTTGCACTTATGGACGAATCTGAACCGATAAATAAGGAGGAAGCCTTAAGTGATCCTAAATGGATATGTGCAATGAAAGAGGAGCTGGAATCTATTAAGAAAAATGGTACTTGGGAGTTGGTCAATTTACCACATGGAAAGAAACCGATTGGTGTGCGATGGGTCTATAAAGTCAAAGCAAATCCTAAAAGTAAAATAATCAAGCACAAAGCTAGATTAGCGGCGAAAGTTCTTGCAATGTGAAAGTATAGACTATGAGGAGGTATTTGCACCGGTGGCTAGATTGGATACTATTCGTTTGGTTGTTGGGATTGCGCATAGAAACAATTGGGTGATTTATCAAATGGATATGAAATCTGCGTTTTTGAATGGTCCTCTTGATGAGGAGTTTTATGTGGGGCAACCACCCGGTTTCGTGATAAAAAATCAAGAGAGGAAGTACTACAAGCTACACAAAGCGTTGTACGGTTTGAAACAAGATCCAAGAGCTTGGAACAAA